CCTCGGTAATGCGCCTCTGTCTATATCATTAGCCACCTTGCGGCGTAGGCTCGAGCGCTAGCTCCAAAGGTACCATGGACGGACGAATTAGTCCTCTTACCGATCGGTGTACACCTATCTGCTACTGTATGTTCCCGATCCAAAATACCGACAAAACAGCGAGCCCGTGACGCAGTGGCGCAGTGGTTAGAACTTTGGACTTCTAACTAACAAAGTCGCGGGCTCGAAACTCAAGCGGGGTACCGATTTCTGAGGCAACACTTCAGTTGGGTATCATTAGCTGACGACGACTAATAAGCTAGAGATGGCCATCTTAGTCTCGCTTGTCGTTGACGGTAATGTCCTTCTGCTTAATTACTGTGACTAAACCCCTTGTGTTGTAGGGCGAACGATGTACTTAGTTGTTCGCGATCGGGGAAAGAAAGTGAGCAACCATATAGCTATGTACCTACGTCAACATAATATTATTCTACCCTTTACGTTATAATCATTTGAATATTGGTATATTGTGCACATTAATATATATTTCCGTTTTTTACGTAGCCGCTCGGCTGCAAAGTTTGATTTTGAGAAAAAAAGTTAACTGTTGCCATGCTGACAAGAGGTTTCAAAATATTTTAGTTATGATACTCGACCAATGGTGACCCAGTGGCTGCTGCTAAGATCGTCGTCCCACCCGCCGTTTCTATGCGTTCTAGTTTGCCCCGTCCTCAGCCTTTTACGCAGAAGCCTGGCATGAAGATGGAAAATACCTCTTCCAGGCGCGGGGCACCAATTTCTGGGGCAACACTTAAATTGGGTACGACTAGCTGACAATTTCTTATAACCCAGAAATGGTCATGATAGTCTCCCTTGTCTTTATCGGAACTGTCCTTCTCAATCTATACAGATATCACAGGCAGCGTACAAGCGTGGCCAAGTGTGGTCTAAAACCACCATATCCATATAAACCACCATCCATATAAATCCGGAGGTGAGCACCACACTTTTTCATGGGACACACTCCCCGAAGTTGCCCATTCTTTTCGAAGGCGAAGTTAGCAATTCCAGTTAGTGGTCCCCTTTCAGCCTGTGCTCCACAGCTTTCATCTATGTCACGACTCAATCTTACCTACAAAATCGCCGCTCAGAATTACTACTGCTTCGGTATATTTACTAATAAATGACAGCCAACGGATCCACTACTAAACCACCACCGGTAGCGGCACTACCAGAAACAGTGCTGACATTTAAGTCTGCCTGACAGGTGACTGCTGCTGGCCGGTTAGAAGAAACAGTTTACGACTTCCAGCGCATGCTATAAATCATCAACGTAGGTAAATCACCGCTACTGCGCTTGCGGAACTATGTCAAAGTGCTCAATTGGAAGTTGAGATGATAAATTTGGCAGAAGAGACATCTGGAAGAGATTAATGCGCGCCGATAGAGTAGAACGTCAAGGTTCGCTTAAAAAATACTCGGTTGAAGCTTATCCATCATGCGAGTTTGTGCTTTATGATCCAGTGGTCTTATTAGAGGGATCAGGTAGTTTTGGAGGAAAGCCATCTAACTGACACAAGATGGAAGCAGACTCAACAATAATAAATCCTTGAGAATAGCTTTCGTACTGCTCACCCTATCGACGGAACCGTAAATTAAAACTATGGGCGGTGAATGATCCTATTACAAAGTACTTAATAAAAAGAAAGTATTCCCATTTGGAGGTACGTACTCCTGCTGCCTTCTGCCAATGATAAAAATAAGAGCAAGTGCGCATATTCTGCGTTTTCCTTGTTGGACACCCAACAGTCCAGATATCACACGCGATGATTAGCTATTTAGAGACCTATGTGGCGACATTAGCATAGAAACATCATAATGTAAAAGGAAAGAATTTCGCAGTAGCCTAATAATAGGTAGACTAAAATATAACGCACCACTAAAGACCCGAAACTCTCCTTCGAGTTTTGAAAATGACAAAAGATGCGAAAAAATTTTAAATGCGGAAAATCTGACGACCACTAAGAGCGAGAGAAGCATTAGGAGAGAAGGGGGGAGGGGGGAGGGGAGGTGGCAGGGGAGTAAAGTGAGGGAAAACTTTGCGTTTGCGTAGGATGTGAGAGACTTACGCGGGGATAAGTAGGTGAAAAAAAGAAAATGCTTTACCTGCACGTTTTGCGATCGCAATCCATTCGGATTTTTCTCCATGAGTTTGCTCAAATCTGAATCCTAAAAAGATTAAAAATGGGATTTGTTTTTATTGTGTAACGAAGATTAGAAAAAACCATGGATATAATAAAAGGCAGATTAAGGTACATTTATGCAACATGGTTTTAGAAATCTGGGATGGCAACTGTGACAAGGAATGCCAGGACATGGCATTATTGTGTGAAGCACATGATTGTTGCAAATTGGGAAATGTTTTATTATCTCTTTGTTCAAGCGTTTGTCTACTTCAGCGTTGGTGACCAGATGAACCTGTAAATCACGGTATCCGTGGGTATTATCACATCAATGATAAACCCTATATAGGATGAGAAGGACCGAAAACATATATGAAATGTCTGATTGGGTATGCTTGAAACGTATTGCATGACAGAATGAAAACTACTAATGGGTGACCTTTACTTAGTTAGGTGATTGGAAGATACAGTCAGAAACTCTCGAAAGAGTGCAGGGTCGTTGCTTCCATTAGTCTACTTTCTTGTTTTTGTTGCGAATGGCTTGGAGGTAAGGTGAAAGATCAACCACTCATGTGCAACAAAGAAGGTTCTTCCTGGAAGCTTCACTTTGCGAGATAAGAATAAAATCTAGAACA